ACCGTTCAAATTTACAACAGCATTGAAAAAAGTGACTTATGACTGTTTCCCACTTATGACCGTTGCAGCATCCCCGTGGTCATGTGATCAAAATTCAGATGCGTGGCAACCAGCTCATATTCGCGGCCTTCTGACAAGCCAAGTCGGTGGGGAAGCCAAATTCGCTTTGCAACCAGCTTACTAATTTTAACAACTGCAGAGATGCCCTTAACCAAAGGCAAGTCGTACAATGGGACACAACTTCCTTTAAGAAATGTTTCACTTGGCAACATGAATTCCAGGCTCAATTGTGGCCATAAGTCAAGGACTACCTGTAGTTATAGAGAAACAAAAGAGTTTTAATGTGCTTCCTCCTCACTCCCCTTCCTCTTTGTGAGAATGAGGGTGTTGCTTGAGATGCTTTCTCAAGTTACATTTCTGCCCTGGACTCAAGTTTCATTTTATCTCCAGGTGGCTGGAGAATTCTGGGAGTTGAAGTCCACAAGTCTTAAAAGTTGCCAAGTTTGGGGATCCCTGGTTTATCTGAATGTTGTCTCAGTAGGTTTTCCTGCCCACCAGAGCAGCCTGTTGGTAAACAAATGGGTAGCCTTTTTTCACGGAAAGGCTACCCATTCATTTTGTGAATCTGCTTGTGACGTGCTAACAAAAACCACCCAGGTAGCCTATAACTCAAAAAAAAAAAAAAAACGCCCTGAAGTTGCAACCCTTGCATTCTATTTTACAATTAACAGGGAAAGGAAAGTGCTCTAGAAAAGAGATCCCGAGCCGCAGAATATTTAGGCAATGTATTCTAACAAAACAGGGAGTCAAAATGGTGAGACTGAGCAAGACTGCTGGATCACGTGTGAGCAAGAGGTAGATTATGATTTACTGGTAAATACTGTTGATCAACCAGAGTGTCCTCATTTACAACCCACGTGCAGAAAGAAACTCATCCTTCTAGATTAACTGCAGAGAAGAACAAAAATGTTTAGGGAGAAAGGTTTAAAAAAATATAGGCTGGCTTGGAAATTCTGGGAGTGAAGTCCACAAGTCTCAAAAGTTGCCAAATTTGAAGACCTTGATTTAGAAAGAGAAAGAGCTAGTGAAGGTGGCTCACTTTTCATCTTTTAATAACCCCATAATCCCTTGCGGTGTGGAGTCTGGGCAACTGAATGGACTCAGTGTTTACTGGTCAGGTGA